CCATGGAACCAACCCTTATGCCCACTGAAAGTAGACTGGACAAAGAAAATGTGGTACATATACACAATGGAATATTACACAGTCATAAATAAGGACAAAATCATGAACTTCTCCGCAAATTGAATGGAACTGGAGACAATCATTCTTAGCAATCTATCACAGAAGCAAAGAACCAAATACCACATGTTCTCACTCACAACTGGGACCTGAACATTAATCACAAAAGCACAAAGGAGGGATCGGCAGTCACAGGACACTACCAGGGAAAGGAGGAAGAGGAGGACAGGTAACAACACAAAGGGTACCTGATTCTAAACCAAGGAAAGGGAGAACCAGTTGGAGGCCCAAACTTCACCTATATATACATTATTTATGTACCTAATCCTGACTTGTACCCCACATCTTTATAATAAAATAAAGTTTAAAATACGGGCAAAGGACCTGAATACACATTTTTTTCCAAAGAAGACACACAGATAACCAATAAGTATATGAAGAAGTGTTCAAGATCACTAATCATCAGGGAAATGCAAATCAAAACTAAAATGAGCCGGGCTCAGTGGCTCAGCCTGTAATCCCAGCACTTTGGGAGGCCAAGGTGAGTGAATTGCCTGAGCCTACGGGTTCAAGACCCGCCCGGGCAACTTGGTGAGACCTCATCTCTACAATAAATCAAAAATTAGCCAGGTGTAGCAGCGTGCGCCTGTAGTTCCAGCTACTTGGAAGGCTGAGGCAGAAGGATCGCTGGAGCCCAACAGGTCGAGGCTGCGGTGGCCAGGAACGTGCCACTGCACTTCAGACTGGGCGATGGAGTGAGACTCTAACTAAAAAGAAAACACCTAAAATGATATAGCTAGTCATATCTATTAGAATGTCTCTCATCAAAAAGTCAAAAGACTTTTAGAGTGTGAAAGTGTGGAGAAAATGGAACCCTTATACACTGTAGGTAGGAATGCAATTTGGTACAGTCATTATAAAAAACAGTATGGAAGTTCCTCAAAAAATTAAAAATAGAACCCTTATATGATCCAGCAATCCCACTTCTGGGTATATATCCAAAGAAAATGAAATTAGTAACTCAAAGAGATTCAGCCTTATGATCACTGCAGCATTTTTCATATTAACCAAGATAATAAACATCTACATAATTTCCATCTACAGATGAATGTATAAAAATGGTATATAAAGGGATAGAATATCATTCAGACTTTAAGCAGGAGAAAATCCTGCCTTTTGTGACAACATGGATAAGCCTAGAAGATATCATGCTAAGTGAAATAAGCCAGACACAGAAAGAAAAATACTGCATGCACTTAGTTATATGTAGAATCATTAAAAATCAAACTCATAGAAGCAGAGAATAAAATGGTGGTTACCAGGGTTGAGGAGATGTGATAAATAGGATGATGCTGGTCAAAGGGTAAAAAGTTTCAGTTATGTAGGATGAATAAGTGCTGGAGTTCTAATGTATAACATGAGGACTATAGTTAGTAATACTGTGTCATATACTTGAAATTTGCTAAGAGAGTAAGTCTTCAGTGTTCTCATCAAGATAAAAAAATGGTAATTATATGAAGAGATGAATATATTACTTAGCTTGATTGTAGTAACTGGGTCACTGTGTATACGTATTTTAAAGTATCAGACTGTATACCTTAAATATATATAATTTCAATTTAAAATTTTTTAATGATATCAAGTGGTTAGAAGTACAATATTCAACTATGGCCAGAAGAACTGTAACAAGGATGAGAGTGGCAAGAGGATATTCCAGAGACAAAGTCTGAAAGAGAAGAAAATTCATATCTTTGGCCATACTGAGCAAGTTGCAGAAGATTTTTCTGTTGTTGTTGTTGCTTTTGTTTTGGGTTGGGGTCTCAATCTGTAGCCCAGGCTATTAAAAAATGGGCATTGGACATGAATAGACACTTCTCAAAAGAAGACATACAAGCAGCCAATATATACACAACAAAATGCTCAGCATCTCTAATCATCAGAGAAATGCAAATCAAAACCACACTCAGATACCATCTTACCTCAGTAAGGATGGTCATCATTAATAAATCAAAAAAACAACACATGCTGGCGTGGGTGTGGAGAAAAGGGGATGCTTCTACACTGTTGGTGGAAGTGCACAGCTCACAGTAACCTCAGGCAATACTTCTTCCTCAGCCTCCCAAGTTGCTGGGACTACAGGCACATGCCACCATATCTGGTTAATTTTTTTATTTTTTGTAGAGATAAGGTCTCACTATGTTGCCTAGGTTGGTCTCAAAATCCTGGGCTCAAGCAATCCTCCCACCTCAGTCTCCCAAAGTACTGGAATTACAGGCATGAGCCACTGTAACCAGTTGAAGGAGATTTAAAAGATCCAAAATTTAGCTATATGGATACTGGGGGTCTGCCAGCTTAAAGTATTAATTACTGACTTAAATTATATATCATTTAACTTTTATAATAGATATATAACAACAGTGGCTATTATTTAACTTTTATAATAGATATGTATAATAACAATGGCTGAGAAACATGATGTGTGATAAGAAGACAATTCAGGGTTAATAAGAGCAATAGGCATTCCCACAGTCCACTTACATCAGATAAATTTGCATAGTAACAAAATCTTTAATCAAGGGTTTTCATGTTAGTAATAGACAATTTATGTAACAAAAGTTACATAAATATATCAGAAGAATTGTATGTTTTATCCACAATACATATTTAGCACTAAAGGAACTTCAGATATTAGTTCAAATTTTTTTTTCCACAGATGAAACATAAGATTCAAAAGAGGTTAATGACTTGAATTTCTGCTTCAAAATGAATTAATGATTAACCCTGTATCAGTGCAACTATGAATACTTTCTCCTTTTACTCTTTTCTGGAATTATTATATTACTTTACAATGAGAACAGTAAAGTAATTTTAGAAAAAATAATATCCCTTAAAAACAATTTATGGATCTAGGGAACCTGTTTGCCAGGTTGTATCCAATTCCCAGATTCTAAAGGCCTCATCTCTGCTCAATTGAGCTTTCTTAACTACCAAGTACAATTTCAATTTCTCTAAGACCAATTGTAGGAGGTTTGGCATAAAGGTTTAAAAATATATTATCAGTTCATCCTTATTCATCTTACTAATTGTCTCATATCCTAATTCTAGCAAATGAAATTTATCTTGATAACTTGCCTAGTAGCACAATATCCATAACAGGAGTCTACATTGCTCTTGCAAATTCTATGTCCTAAGAGAGTCTAGAGTAGGAATACCAGGAAAAAAAAACAATATGCCAAGTTAAATTTGAATTTCAAATAAATAACAAATGAATTTCCAGTATAAGTGTGTCCCAAATACTGGCTGTGACACATACTAAAAATTGATTATCTGAAATTCAAATTTAACAGAGCATCCTGTATTTTTATTAGCTAAATTTGGCAACTCAAGCCTAGACTCTAAACCTGAAGATTAGGTCTTTAAATGGTTTAAAAGACTTTCAGCAGATTACCAACTCCCTGCTTGGCTTTTCACACATTTTCTGTTGTTGTATTCCAACAGTTGGACAGATCATCTATTATTTCAGATTGGAATGGTCAATGCTGGCTACCTGTCTAGATTACAGTTTGTTTCCTAGTTCACTAATGCTTATCAGAATGAATTTTCTTCTAGTATCTGCAGCTGTAACAATATCTCCAGGAACCATCCCAAACCACTGAAAAGGCCTAGTTTGAAGCCCTTGTCTTGAAGAAACTAATGGACTGGTCCTGAGGAAACTAGCATGGATAATAAAATAACTAATTTCTTAAATAAAATACCAATGTATTTACTAGCCACCATATAAAAAGTTTACTTCTTTTTTTAAAAAGGCAATATATTTAATAAAAAACGAGGGTAATATTCACAGGGTAGTAAGGATTATTAAAAATAACATATCGCCGGGCTCGGTGGCTCAGCCTGTAATCCCGCACCTTTGAGAGGCTGAGGTGAGTGGATTGCCTGAGCCGGCGGGTTCGAGACCCGCCTGGGCAGCAAGACCTCATCTCTACAATAAATCTAAAAATCAGCCGAGTGTGGTAGCGCATGCCTGTAATTCCGGCTACACAGAAGGCTGAGGTGGAAGGATCGCCAGAGTCCAGCAGGTCGAGGCTGCGGTGGCCGGGAGCGGCCACTGCACTCCAGTCTGGGCGACTGAGTGAGACTCCAACTCAAAATAAATAAATAAATAAATAAATATATAACATATCAAAACATTTAACAATGACTGATTTGTGATATGTTTGGGGTTGGTTCTTCCAGTACTTTGTTTCCAAAATTATTTCCTTCAATATTGCCACTTATCCAAGGATGCAAAATCCAAACTAAAAAATAATTCATGTTCTTTTTCTATTTTTGTCATACTACTTAAACATTAAACTTAGATCCTTATGGCAAATACCATCACCACCTTTTTGTTGGTCCTCATCATTTGCTGACCCCCTAGTACTGCAGATACATATGGATCTCAACGTCCATTTTTCTTTTTTACTCCATTCTGTCCACTTTAGAGCTGACTGTCTTAGGCAAAATTGAGTACTCTGTTCTCAATTTTGACTATATCCAACAATAAGATATGATTCCTGTCTCTTTATCTATTGTCAATTAGATTATTGATCTTTAAACTCATGGGGATAAACACTGGGAGAAATTTCACTATAACATAAAGAATTTTTTGAAACATAATCACTGCCAAATTGACATATTTTTAACGTTTTATATGCATGTTAACTTATTTTTATAAAATGTAGCTAATATTGCTATAGATTTTATAGAGGTATCTTAAATGTAATTCTGTCTAAGAAAGGAGTAAGAAATAAAGGCGTTTCCCTCAACTGCCAATCCCACTCCACACTTTAAAATTTAAAAAAATTTAAAAAAAAAGAAATGTAGGAGGAAGGAAGAATAGTGAGGAAGACAGGGAAGTGAAAAGGAATAGAAGAAGAAAGAGAAAATTTTAATAGACTCACCTCCAACCACTCTGGTTTCTTTTATTATTTGATTGAATAGAGTGAGACATAGAATCTTGACTTCTCAGAGGACGAGAAACTGAATGTGATATTTGCCTTTCAAGGAAATATGTCTTGTTAAATATTGATAGCTTGTTTTCAAATTGAGAAATATGAAATATATATGGAAGAGTAACATCAGTCAGTAACAGACACACATTCATTGATTTGTATTTTTCCACATACCCTGTGTTCATTGTTTTCGTTAAAGAAGTCATCTCTGGATTCACAGCTTCCCAGGCCCAATCTCAAAAGATATAAGTAACATATATAAAAGTAAGATAGGTGGTATTTTTCAAAATAATTACTTCATACTTATTTGAGGGGTTTAAAAACCTGATGAAGAAAAAAGTTTGAAAATATGGGTTTGGTCTTCAACACCACTCTGCTGGAGAATTGTCACAGCCTGCCTTATTAATTTTTATAAATGTCTTCTTTCCCCCTTTTATCTTAAGCAAATATAACAATTTAATCTGCATCTTTTCTGCAATCAGTTCTAGTATAGTGTCTTATACTCTGTAACATGAATTTATTCTAAGTCAATGTTTCTTGAACTTTTTTTATTCCACCCCACAAATAGAAATACATCATAACCCAGAACATATACATGCATGGTGTGAGAGAGAGAAGGTGGGTGGCAGTGAAGGGGGGCGAGACAGACACAAACAGGATAAAGAGCAGGGGAGAATATAACAAGATTTCACCATCAGATCTTGTCCTTAATATGCATGATGCACTCTGATACAGTCATGTATCATTTAATCATTCTGAGAAATGCATTGTTAAACAATTTCTTTGTTGTGCAAACCTCATAGAGTATACTTACACAAAACTAGATGATATAGGACACATCTAGGGTATATGGTTTGGTACATGGTATAGCCTATTGTTCCTAGGCAACAAACCTAATACACCACGTTATTGTACTAAATACTGTGTGCAATTGTAACACAATGGTAAGTATTGTGCGTGTCAACATATCCAAACACAGAAAAGGTGCAGTAGAAAAATGGTACAAAAGATAAAAAGCAGTACGCCTGTATAGGGTACTTACCATGAATGGAGCTTGAGGGACTGAAAGTTGCTCTGGGTGATTTAGTGAGTGAGTGGTGAGTGAAAGCTAAGGCCCAAGACATTATTGTACACTATCATAGACTAAAAACATCATCCAATTGGGCCATACTAAATTTATTTTTTTTTTAATAGAATGTGCTATGACATTACAATAGCTGCTACGTCACTAGACAATAGGAATTTTTCAGCTCTGTTATAATCTAATCAGACTACTGTCCCATCACTACCCAAATGTAGTTATGTGATGCATGACTGTATTTTCTATTCTATTCTACTCTACTTTACTCTATTCTCTTTTTTAAAAAATCAGTTGTATTCCAGCCTGACTAATGGATCAAGAAGGAAATTCAAAAAACACTGATGTATTTTATCAAATCTCTGACAAATAGTAATACTAGTCAGAGATTGAAGAGTTCAGTACTTTGGTAGAACACAAATTTCCTTACAAAGTAGCTCAATTTTTCAATTCATGCTACTTCTAAAAATATTTTAAATGATGGAATATTTTTAAGTGGTGGAATATGACCAGATAAATGCCTACTTGTGCACATCTATGTGAATTTCTAAATTTTTATCCAAAAAATGGAATATAAACTTCATACCTAAAATTCCTCAAATATAGAATAAAACAAAATAATTATAGATTTAGAAATATATTAAGGTATATTGGAAACCACTGTTTGAAATTAACAAACAAGTATTGCTTGATATAAAGATATTTTAAAATTCTACTTGTATAAGATCCTATTAATGATTTTTAAATGTGCCCCAGAATGTAAATGTATATAACCACCATGTACCAAGTATATTTCAAAATGTCGGCCTGCCCATGCCTTCCTTCTTCCAGAGGGAAATAAAAAGTCAACAAACATTAAGACCTCCCAGCACCCACCACCACAGCTAACTGGTTCAGAGATAAGAGGTCTATCCACAAAGCCACGCCAGAATTGTAGTGGCCTCACTTAAAAGATGAGTTGAGCCAGAGGTTCTCTGTCTCTAGGATTTGCAGAGATACAAAGGGCAGTCTATAGATGACCTCTGAGAGCCAAAAAAAGGTTATGCCAACTCCCAGCAAGGGCAACTTAGTTCGTGTGCTAGTTGAAGTTACAAGGAAGTCAACTGGATGAGAAAGTGTCTTAGTCCATTTGGGCTACAATAACAAAATACTTCAGACTGGGTAATTGATAAATAAGACAAATACAAGTCATTGTGGGACAGTTCCAGAGGCTGAGAAGTCTAAGTCAAGGCACCAATAGATTTTGGTGTCTGGTGAGGTCTCACTCTCTGCTTCATAGATGGCAATTCTGTATCGCCACATGACAAAAAGATTGAACAGCTCCCTGGAAACTCTTTTATAAAGTCACTAATCCTCAAGACTTAATTACTTCCTAAAGACCCTGGCTCTTAATACTCTTATATTGGCAATTCAGTTTCAGCATACCAATAGGCGGGTCCAGGGACACATTAAGGCCATAGCAGAGAGTAAAGAGCCAACAAATGAAGGAAGGCAAAAATGCTTTAAGAAAAGGAAAAAGACTAGGGCCAAGCACCAAAAATTTCTGGATTTCTACCTTCCCCAAAGTCTATCTTTTTTCTGTTTTTCCTCTGTTCCAATGCTCATTGATCTCTGTTCCTGAGGCAATTCAAGCTTTTCTGTTTTTTACCACCAAATGTGTACGTTACAATATTCATATGTGCTTTGAAAAAGAATTTTACAATATAGGCTACTACTTCATTTAAAATGAAGGCTCCAGATCTAAGTAGGATATACCACTTAAATACAAAGCCACCTGGGTAGACATAAAAGCTCAAACTCCTGAACTGGAATGTTCAGAAAAAAAGACAAGTAATTTTTATATGTCCATTGCTGCCACCACCTGTGCAGCTCCTGCTGAAGCGCTACTATGGACAGAAAGGCATACAACATTGACCCAGCCTGGACCACCACGGGCATCAGAGTCCTCAACACCCACCTAGAACTCACTCGTGACGGTACTCTACTTTCTGATGGTTCTGGATAACGAGCAGCTGGCTGTACTGTCAAGTCATTGTGGGACAGTAATTGACTTCTTCCTGGCTGGGAAAAACCTTGTGTAGTTGCCAATATGTGTTTCTCCTTTTGCTACAAATATTGACAGTGGCCATCTTCTGGGTATTGCTGGGATGAGAGTCTTCAGTAATTGTTAGGGCCTTCGAGTGGAATGTTGTATTTATGCCCTTTGGTCTGTTTGGATATTTATGCCCTTTGGTCTGTTTGCCCTATTTACATTAAGGCCAGGGTGGTGACAATGCCAGAATATTTCAGGAAGAGGTTTGGTAGCTGCTGGATTGAGATCCTCATCTCTATTGTGTATTTATTCCTCTATGTCTTCGATAACATCTCATTGGAGATTAGCTCTGGTGCCATTCTTGTGAGGCTAGTTTGGGGGACGAATGTTTATCTGATCATTCTGGTCCTGTTGGCAGTGTCTGGAGCATACAGTGTCATGGGTGGTCTAGCACCTGTGGTTTATACTGGTATCTTATGTGTTGGCATTTTATTTCTAAGATCAGTCTTATTAATGGAATATGCCTTTAGGGAAGTGGGAGGATACCAAATAATGCTGCAGAAGTACTTGTAGACCATACCAAGTAAGATCAGTAAAGAAAACTGGACTACCAAATCACAGTGCTACCTCCCTTGCTAAGATGCTTTCCATATATTTTGAAATTCTACCACTTGAGACCTCCCCTGGCCAGGAATCATCTTTGGTTTCTCTGTCTTCTCTATGTACAACTGGTATGCCAATCAGGTCTTTGTCTAGCAGTGCCTGGCAGGGAAGAGCATGTCTCACATGAAAGGCAGCTGCCGCCTATATGGGTACATGAAACTGTTGCTTATGTTAATTGTTGTGATGCCAGGAATGAACAGCCACATCTTGTAACCAGATAAAAGTGGCATGTGCTGAACCTTCAGAATGCCAGAAGTACAGTGGCTCCCAAACTGACTGCAGCCTCATCACATACCTTATTATAGAGCTTATTACAGAGCTGCTACCCAGTGGCTTACGAGGATTGATGTTCTTCATGTGTACCTCTATCATGTCCTCCCTGGCTTCTATTTTCAATAGAGCCAGCACCCTGTACACACCAAACATCTACACCTAGATGCAGCCTGTGGCCACTTAAATGGAACTCATAACAGAAATTTTTATTATAATCCAACTTATGTTCACCATTGCCTGGATCCCTGTTATGAGGATGAGATACAGTGAACAATTGCTTTAATATGTGCAAGTGGTCAGTATTTACATGACACTACCCATTACTGCTATCTTGCTGCTTACCATATTTTACAAGAGGGTCAATGTGCCTTCTGGAAGCTGACTTTGGGGCTTGCAAGTGGCCTCTTTTGATTTATGGTTGAGATGGTCTATGAACCCAGGAAGTGCATGGCAATAGCACATGCCCAGTGCCCATCTGCAGCGTGCACTACATCTACACCGTGATTCTCTTTATGGTTAGACTTCTCAGCACACTTGGTTTCTCCTTACTCACAGACCTGGTTCTGGAGAAACATCTCCATCGGCTCTGTTGGAGCTCAGGCAACAGTGAAGAGGAAAGGGTAGATCTGGACACAGAGCTGCAATGGAACAGACTCCCAGGCCCCCAGCACAGCCAGCTCGAGATGTATTCAAGGAGGCCCAGAGATGCTTCTAGAGGACTTTGGACCTGTTCTGTGGCCTGTACCCATGGCAGAATTTCAAAATCTTGCAGGCTGAGGTGACATCCTTGAGAAGGGCTAATGTACCAGCCCTGGGAGAGACTGAGGTGACAGCCCCAAGAGAGGCTGAGGTGTCTGAAGAGAATATGGAAGGTATGAAGCAGGCCAACACATCAGAGATGCCCTACTGAAGGAGAGTTGTCAACGGCAGTGCAATTGTTCTGCTCATTCTCGTAGTCACTGGCCACAACTACTATTTCTGAAGCAGCTGGGTCAGGGGCTGCTAGGGAGGGCAGGCAGAGCTGCCACCTCTTCCAGGCTTTCACATCATGAAGGGGAGCCCTGCAGGGATAGGGCCAGGGTTTACACTCATGAAAATGCTCCCACAGCAACTTGCATCAAGGGCCACCAGCTGCAGGGCATGCATACCATTTGACAGGACAGAAGGAAGTCCACTCACAGTTACAGAGACTATGCAAATGAGAACACTTGTTCCTTTACAAAATAAGTCACTTACTCCAAATAGCACTTCTGCACACTGACTTTCACTCTAATTTTGGTTTTCCATTTCTAGATATATTTGGGGTCTTTGCTTGTGTTTACTTCACTGTCACTGTTTCTTTCCTATGTCCACCCTCTGTTGCTTTGTTGTCTCCTCATTTTTTAAAGGTGTGGTCCTGCTGACCAAGATGCCAAGTTGTTTGAGCCCTACCCGCCACCACCAGGGCCCTCACCCACAGGTACTGTGCTTATCCCTCATGGCCACAGAGGCCATAGGGCATCAGCTGCTGGGGATGGAAGCTTGGGCCCTTGCCTGGACCAGAGGCAAAGCCAGGAAAGGCTCTGCTCCAACAGAGCAGGCCTCCCCACAGCCCAGCACTGTTGGCTTCTTCCATGCTACATCCCTGGAGGGCAGGCAGAAAGGAAACTCCCTCCATCCTGACTCTCCCAATCACACTTGCAATCAGTCTGGTAACAGGATGTTACTGGGAGTTGGGCCCAAAATTTAGATTCTCCCTTAGCTGTCAGACATAGGCCACTCCTAAAACTCTCCTTACTTTTTCCCAGTCCAAAATAAATGACTTGCAACTTTAGGAAAAGTTTCAAGTGCCTTGAAATTATTTTATCACAAGAATCACACTCTGAAGGCATGTTCACATAACCAGCTCTCATTCCTTCTGTAACTCTTCAGGTAACATTTTTGAGGGCCTCCTATGTGCTGACCATTGTGTTGAACTCCAAGGAAATAGCCATGAACAGAGCACATGGAAACTGCTTTCAGGAGTGTATGGTCTATGGGAGGAAACAACTGTGGCGATACCCAGCATTTCATGGAGCCTGCTATTTTCAGCTCCTGATAAGTGCATTATCACATTCAAGCCACAGAAGCACCTTGTGGAAGGATAAGAATTAACCACATTTCACAGGGGAGGATGCTGAGCCCCAGCAAGGGAACCTAACAAGGCCTACAGCAGCCCTGCCTGACACTCAGGTCACACTCTGGCCCACCACACAGTGTGTGTCCTGTCGGAGTGCCCAGCAGGGAGGCCCACGCAGCCCCAAAGTTAGGGAAGAAGATGAATTGTCTGGATAACAGAAGGAATACGTGAGAAGTCATGAGGCAAGAATACAAGGCAAGTTTGGGGATGCTGAGACATGCCATGCAAGTGGAGAATAGGTGAAGAGTCAGAGGCATGCCCAACAGGCAGAGTATGCTTTGAGGGCCTAAGTCCCTGGCAGCTTAGGCAGGGAAGTGGTAGGATCAGATCTTCTGTCTGCTGCTGGGAAGACTAAAGTGAGGCAGGAATACCCACCAGGAGACTCTAGAACAATGCAGGCAAATTAGTGGAAGAGAGCTAAAAGAAGACGACCTTTGGAGGGAGGGGCTGGGAGTAAGTCTCTAACTTGAGCATGCAGACAAAGGGAGTTCCAACTCCAGAGATAGGTCACACTGGGGAATGAGCAGGAATGGGGAAAAGATTAACTCATATTCAACATGTAGGTCTGAGCTGCATGAAGACATTTAATGCCATCTTGACAATATTGTCTTCTAATCCATAAATATGAGATGTCTTTCCATAAATTTGGGTCGTCTTCAATATCTTTCTACATCGTTTTGTTTTTGGTGTGCAAATCTTGCATTCCTTTTGTTAAATTTATTCCTATTTTATTATTTTTGATGCTATTGTAAATGAAATTGTTTTCTCAATTTTGTTTTTGGATGGCTCATTGCTAGAATATGGACCACCCGCTGTGGGAGCTTTTCTGACTTCTCAATAAATTCCACTTTCTCACTAAAAAAAAAAAAAAATGAAAATACAATTGATTTTTGTATATTGATTTTGTATCCTGCTACCCTGCTTAACTTGTTCATTAGCGCTAATAGTTTTTTAGTGCATTTCCTTGGGGTTTTTGAAATACAAGATCATGTAATCTGTGAAAAGAAAAAGCAAAAGACTTTTTAAAAATAGAATGATAATTTTCTATAATCCTAGCTTTTATTTCCTGAAAATTTTCTTCTTATTCATTTTCTTACCTGTTGGTAGAGGAGGGAAATCATAACTGTCAGAAGCAGTACTGATACCTGGATCATTTTTAAGTGGATTAGAAGTTAACGGCTGTCTGTTCCTCTTTTTCTGATTGAACAATGGAACAGGCAAACAGCCTAGATTGAATGTATCAATAAATTAGTACATAATAGGCAAATAATCAGATCTAGTTATAAAATAATTACTCCTATATAATACACAATTTGAGTTTATCTACTTCTATGTTAATATACTTATTATAGCCAGGTTCGGTGGCTCGGCCTGTAATCCCATGCCTTGGGAGGCCGAGGTGAGTGGATTGCCTGAGCCCAACAGGTTCGAGACCCGCTTGGGCAACTTGGTGAGACTTCATCTCTACAATAAATCAAAAAATTAGCTGGGTGTGGTACTGTGCGCCTGTAGTTCCAGCTACTTGGAAGGCTGAGGCGGAAGGATTGCTGGAGCCCAGCAGCTCGAGGAGCAGCCACTGCACTCCAGTCTGGGCGACGGAGTGAGACTCCAACTCAAAATATATATATATATACTTATTATAGATATATTTCTATATCCTTAGATTGATTTCCACATTCTTTTGAAGATCCTGAATAGCCTCATTTGTCTCTCAAAAAGTCCTTTCTTATTCTACCTTAACACTGTTTTAATTCCTCTTGTTTGGAAGTAATTCTCATCTCTTCTCTCATTCCCTAACCCTTTCCACTCCACTTTTTGCTTGTTTCCCTCCTGTACTTACCTATTACCGTATCAACTGGAGGGTACCTGAGGAGTACAATAGAAGTGAGGAAGAACCTAACTTTGAACCATGCTTTCCAAAACCCTAACACTCTTTGGACTATGGTAGCACACCCTTTCAGGTCATCGTTCTCAAAGTTTCACATGACTAAGATTTATTTAGAAATCTGCTTAACATGCAAATTCCTAGACCTTATTCTCATAGATTTTATTTGAATAGATTTGGCCTGGAACCCAAAACTCTGCATTTTTAACAAGCACTCCAGGTGTAATATTTTCTGTGGATCATTTTGAGAATGCCTTAAAGAGTGATAATACCTACTCTAAATGAGATTAAATACAGGTGGCAGATCTAGGATTTCAAATCAAGCCAAAAGTGGCAATGCATAAACTTTAAAACTTAGTAGGGAACTCAACGGGGAAAGAGGTTCAAAAAGTTTTCCCATTACTATGGAACAAGTCAGTGGAAAAACCTAGATAGGGCCCAAGCTTCCTAAATCTCAGTTCAGATCTCTTGCCACTATACCATTCTCTAGGTGGTCCATCATCACTTGTACTAAAAGATAATAAAGACTCTGAAAACTTTCTGATGAGAGGTTGAGAGATTATGTGGGTTCTGGAGTCAGACTGCCTGGGTTTGAATTATGACTTCAAAGTGGGTCTGAATTACAACTTTAGAGTATAAACCTGGGCAATCCTTCTAAAGTCTTGTGCCAATATGACATATAATGAGAGGCAGGATAACATAATCATTAAGAGCATGAACTCTAGAACCAGATTCCTAGGTTCAAATCTTAGTTCTGCCATTTCATAGGTTACTTATTTAACCTCTTTTTGCCTTGGTTTCTCATCTGGAGAACAGGGATGATAATAATAACTTATCTCAGAGGATTGGTGTAAAGATTAAATAAATTTATATAATTAAATATCTTGAATACAGTACATCCACCATAGATAATAATAATTATCTTCACCATGTATTATTATCATTCCCCTGGTTCTCATCATTCTTGTCCTCTGTCTTTATAACAATAAATCGGGAAAGCAGAAATGGTAGGTGAAGCTATTAGGAAGACAAAAGTGCTTCTGGGAATATTTTGAACAAATAAGTCTCAAATACAAATAAAAATAGATCTATTTATTTTTCAGCTTAAAAGTATAGACCTATGTGGGATTTATAGAAAGAACACCAGAATAACTCTAGGAAAGTTTGATCTTACTCCTACCCCTACCATGAAATGTTTTGTCTTGAGTAAGTTACTTTATTTCCTTTGACCTAAAAATTAAAGAGGCTATATACTGCTGATGGGAATGCAAACTAGGGCAACCTCTTTGGAAGACAGTGTGGTGATTTCTGAAAGAACTAGAAATCAACCTTCCATATGACCCATCAATCCCCTCCTGGGAATATACCCAGAGGAATGCAAACCATTCTACAAAAAAGATACCTGCACACACATGTTTGTTGCAGCTCTATTCACAATAGCAAAAACGTGGAACCAACCATGCTGCCCATCAATGCTGGACTGGTTTAAAAAAATGTGGTACATATACACAATGGAATATTATGCAGCCATAAAGAGGGACAGATATATGAACTTTACAGCAACTTGGATGGATTTAGAGTCTATCATATTCAGTGATCTATCACAGAGACAGAGAACACAGTGCCATATATTCTCACTTGTCATAACTTGAACAATTATCATACTACTATGAGAAAGGGATTGGCAGTAATGGGAAACTGCCAGGGGAGGAGGAGTGGGATTGGCAGTTGAGTGACACTACCAGGGGAGGGAGGAGCAATCTCATCAACAAGAGTACCTGCATAATGAACATTTGTATACCTAACTCTGAATTGTACCCTATATCTTTCAAATTAAAAAATTAAATAAATAAATAAATATCTGTCTCAGTTAACCTTACCCCTAGTTGACACTGAGTCCCCAATTATTAAACAGTAGAAATGAAATAAGTGGTTACCAAAAATTTAAATAAAATTAAAGAGGCTAGACTAAATATTCAATCTTTTTAAAAGTTCCTTACAAAATGTTACATCTATGAACTATATACAAGCTTATATAGGATATAGCAAATATAGAAAATTTTTAAATGAAGGTTGTTCAATACCTGCTGTACTTCGAGTTGGATTTTCATTTGGGTTTCGATTCATTTTCTTCAATATCAAAGTCTATAATTTTCTCTTTAGCATTCCAAATGCATTACATAATATGAAGCTGTTTGACTAAACCTTCAAAGAAAGAAACTCATAACTCATGTTGTATCAATAAAATCAAATTCTCTTCCTAGTAATTACTGAAATCATGGCTTAAAACTACTTTCAAACCTCATCATGTAAACATTGTAGGGAGTCCTTTGCTCTCTCAGTGACAGTTTACAACATAACCCGTTTTTCCAGCTCTGTTCGAGATACATTATGACTGGGGACTGTCACCCTGCTTCATCAACATGTGTGGATTTTCACACAGTATTTTAGGGTAAAGCACCCATGATGAGAATGATTCTGAACCAGATCTCTAAAGAGGGAGACAGACTACAGCACTGTCAAACTTGAATGCGTACGAGGTCAGAGAGGACACGCACGCGACCGAACTAGCCCAGTGAGAACATGCTTCCTATCCCCCTGTAAGACATTGTACAGACCATCTGTTTTGGCCATTATTCTGAAACTCCTGGATTATGCAATACCAAAGACTAAGTCCTCACTTAATATCTGGAATAATTATAATGACACATTTCCACTCAGCTTCTACAACTTCAACAAGTGAAACAAGTTATTTGTTTTTTGGTGGTTGTTGTTGTTGTTTTTTGAGTTGGAGTCTCATTCTGTCACCTAGACTGGAGTGCAGTGGCCGCTCCCAACCACCGCAGCCTCGACCTCTGTTGCAATTTTCTCTGAGTTTAGCCTCCTACCATATTTCAGCCTCGATTTAATTCAACAAACAATCGCCCACTGCATGGAAAGGCAAGATACAAACCTAAATAAACTAATTTCTCCTCCAACTTCACTACTCCATGAGACAGACAAAACACGAACACAACTAGGCACAATTGTAGATCGGACTGAGGTAAATATTAATTTTCAAATATGATGTGTAAAAATAAAATATGGGCAACATGTGACCAGGAGTGCCTCTGCTTTGTTCCCACGTCTTGGGCTTAAAGTTGGTCACGATAGGCCCCTCAGAAAATATTCTTGGTGCCATTCTAGGAACCAGAGCATCGATGATGGCTCTTTCTCTCAACAACAGAAATACCAATGTTAACTCACATCCTAAACCCAGAGGGGCTCACAAGGGCTATTTTACATGTCTGGGTTTCATGCAAACAAAATATTTTTGTTAATGTATTTTTTTTCAAGTGCAACATCCTCCCCCTAAACCACTGAACCTGAGAGCAGGGACTCAATTACCCCCAAGCCCACCCAGCTTTCAAATGGACCTGAGTGGTATCAGTAACGTGGGTGGTGGCATCCATGTGCAAAAAGCTGACTCATTCTGCACGCGCGCGCCACTCACAAAGACCGTTGCCTCCAAAGATGGAGGCCAGGAGAGCCTACTGTGGCCCCTTGTAGAAGCGGAGAGAAGCTCTCGTTGGATTCGTGAGCTCTTCCAAAGCCCTCCCCTGACCCACTCAGGAATTGGGGGCAGTTTGCTAACTAGGGTCAACACACACTCTTTCCCTTCTTGGCCCTCCTGCCAACAGGACGACGTACAACTTCAGCAGTTAGTTTCCCTTGTCTCAACAACCGTTGTGTGGACAGCTCCGTCAGCAACCGCCGACCCTCACGCCTCAGGTGGAAAAAAAGCGCGGGAAGTCAGGTGTGCGCAGGCGCGCCTCGCCCCTGCCGCGACCGCGCAGGCGCCGTGCCCACCTCTAGCGTTGCGACGTAGTGGCTCGCCGGGGAATGAGAACGTCAACGCGCCACGCGGTTCCCTTGTAGTTCTTCCACTGTGGAGCGGCGCCAGGATGGCTGTACCTCTTTTTTTGTTGTTTTGTTTTTGAGTCGGAGTCTCACTCTGTCGCCCAGGCTGGAGTGCAATGGCACATTCACGGCCACTGCAGCCTCGACCCGCTGCGCTCAGGCAATCCTTCCTCCTCGGCCTTCCAAGTAGCTGGAACTACCAATGCTCACTACCATGCCCGGCTAATGTTTGGATCCATTGCAGAGATGAGGTCACACCAAATTGCCCAGGCTGGTCTCGAACCGCGGCCTCAGGCAGTCCTCTCGCCTCTGCCTCCCAACGGCTCTACCTCTTTAGAGTGTTGCTCAGAAAGGGAAGGAGCAACACTCTAGTCACTGGAGAAGCAGTGGCAGATCTGCCCAACCGGCCTGGCCCCATCTTGTAAGAAAAGTGTGCCTTTCACTCCCCGACCTCCTGGCCATGTCTTGGGTTCTAGACACTAGTCTGTAAGGTGCTGGTGACCACCCAGAGGATGCCTGCCCAGAGAATGACTCCAAGGCCACAGGCCTCAAAACCGGGTCATGCGTGGTCAGGCCGAATTTCTAAGAGAGATGAATGGGCCAGAAAATTCGTGTCCCAGGAGGCTGGGGAAGAGCGCTGAGGCCGGGGGAGATGGTGGCCACAGAGGTCCGAGAGCTGTCAGCAAGCGGGCCAGAGCTGGGAGCCAGAGGGAACGGCCACCAGCCACAGATGCTTCGGGCAAGGGAAGCAGAAGAGGGTCGTGGCGTCATGGCACCAGAGCTCTCCACTCCAGGCTTCCTGCAGGGAGGACTGTGGACTCCTGGCCCCACTATCTTCCTTACCTTACCACCTCTAGACCTGCATTTCCTTTCTCAGTAAAATAGCAATAACTGCATTGACTTGATTGCCCTAAAAATAGTAAAAGAGAGTATGAACAGTCCTGGCACCCAGTAAGTGCCCAATAAATGTTAGCCCCTATTTAATAACACTAGCTGCTATTTGTTGGGTACATAGAATAGGCCAGGTATAATATTAGACATGGACTGAGACCAGATAATAGCAGACCTCGCATGCCAGAGTAAGGAATAACTTTGAAGGAATATGATCATCTTTTTAATTTGGAAAGAAGCCTTCAAACAATAAAAATAAAATTAAACTTGTTATTTATGATGCCAGAGAGATGACTTAACTAAAACATGAGTAGACTCTTCAGGGACTTTGACCACATATGTACATACGTACATACATTTACACATATACAACACTCACCCCCTCCTAAATATATATATATTTCATTAAGATAAAACAACAACCTAAGTCCATTACGAGCAATGTGTCTGTAAGGGATACAAACATTAGCAATGTGGAGTCTTTGCTAGCAGTTTATAAACTTAAACCATTTTACCCCATCTTGTTCTGGTTATTTATTTATTTCCACTTGGAAAGTTTATCAGGCTGGGCAAAGGCCATTAGGCCACAGGGAAGGAGAAAATTAAAAGTAGTAAAAGTAGCCGGGCTCGGTGGCTCAGCCTGTAATCCCGCGCCTTTGGGAGGCTGAGGTGAGTGGATTGCCTGA